GCTCTACTGTATGTCCAGTGATGGTGAGAGAATCAGTGAGTCCTTTTTTTCCCCACTTGTGAGGAAAAAGCCAATGGAAAATTACCTTACCTGCTACAAAGTCACCTCTGATTTTAATCTTTATTAGCTGAGTCAGATGTGGAGATGCTGAGGAGGCAGAGAAGAAATTTAAAACTTCTCTCCCCGGGCTGCATCTCAAGCTATATATATTTTTGGCTCTGTAAGGTTATTTTTCATTATAAAAACATTTATAAAATGTCAGCTTATTTAACGATTTTTGCTCTTAATTGCTAAAAAACATCCGCCCATCTGTTGTCTTTAATCGCTTCTTTCTTTCCAGGTCATAGGGGTTGCTGGTGCCAATTTCCTGCAATCACAGAAAAACTTCACAACGAAAGTTTAGTTTATCTTTTAGTGTGAAAATTAAAAGCTTCGTGTTTACCAAAGATTGGAGCGTATGCAGCACATCTTTAGATTGTAACTCTACATTCATAAAATTGCCACTCGCAACAATTAAAACTGATTTTACCTTTTAGTTTTAAGGATATTTTAAAATGCAAAAGCTTAATTTGCATTTAAAAATTAAAGGATTTGCGTCTTGGAAAAAGGGGATATGTATAAGCTACAAAAAACTGATTTTGGGGAAACTAAGAAATGTCATCTAGCTTAAGCCAACTTTTGAGTCACTCGGCAGGCAGCCGCCTACCTTTAAAAAAAGAAATAAATATGTAAAATAAACTAGAAAGTCTTTGCACACCTGCATATTGCACACTTTCAAATGAAAGCACAGCTTGACTCAAAATGAAAATCTGCTTCAGAATTCTCCCTTTTCTTCCTCCTGTTATGTTTGCTTAAKATTAGCACATGTTTTCATTTCCTGGCTTCAAACTACAAATATTTAGTTGTATTTTTTTCAAAAGACATTAATTAAATTGAATAATTACGTGAGGAAGATAAAATCAGACCCTTCTTGTGACTCTGGAGTGTCAAATTTTTGATGAGGAAACAGCAGGAGAACTCATGTTGAGAAAGGCAAAAATTACTTTTCCTGACAGAACATTACATAGATGATGGTTAATGTGTTTTTTATTACAGTAGCTTGAAGAGTCTGGGTATTTTTCCCCCCACCAAGATGACTAGATGTTCAGTTCTATACAAAGTAGTTCGTCTTTTTCAATTTGTATTTTGTACTTTCGTGCTTATGAGAAATGCAGAGGAAATGGATCACATTAATGATGGTTTTGTTCTGTTCCTTCAAGCCGTGTCAGAGGGTCAGCCTGTATTATACTGTGACCCTTGAAGCTAAATTGAGTGGAGACCTCATGAAATTAATAACTGCACTTACGTGCTTCCTGCAGTGTCACATTAGAAAAGTCCTCTGCCCTGTTCTTTCTTTCTTATTAATTTTTCATTACTAGACATTTTGAGCTGGGTATTTATATACTTTTATTTTAATCAATAAATTTAAACTTTATCCAAACTGTTATTTAGTGCTGGGCGGTATGACCCAAAAATATCAAGATATTTTCAACATTTACATCGGTTTCACGATATATCGGGTATTTTTTTTTCATCACAGGTCAGCTGATAATAAAATGTACCAACACTGCTAATTTACTTTTTTCTTTTACTGTACCTCTGTCTGTGTCTCTGTGTCCCTCCTCTATATGACTTTTCTTCTCCTGGTTGGAGACAGTAMTCACGCATTTTGGTCCGGTGATGTGCGAAATTCAGTTCCCCTGTGAAAATCTGTCCTCCATAGTGGTTAACCTTAGAGAGAATCACTGGTCCAGGCATAACATCAGACCAATCCTAAATGGTTAATTTGAGGGAGGTGCTCCCAACACAACGGGAACAGATTTTCACAGGGGAACTTAATTTTGTACAACACCTGTCGTGAAGGAGGAGGGTTGCGAAAAGATTATTATCGGGTCTATTGTTTTAATGTTATTTAATAAAGCTTAACAGGACTCACCTTGCACACCAGTCAATTAAACTCTACTACAAAACTACTTCTCCCGGGCTTTTCACAATAGAAGCACAATAAAATCTCCAAGCAGTAACGTCTCCATATTAACGTTGCGTGTAATATCTAACCATGCATGTCACTAAAGATGTGTTTACAACATTCAGCGAAGGTGAAAATGGGATTTTTTTTTATGTCAGTCAATATAAGCAGCGGAATCGCCACCRGCTGCCAGTTACTCCAACATTAGCTTGCTAATGCACATAGCAGTGCTGCAGGGAAAAGTGTCCCCTGGGAAACAGTTCACTGGTGGCCACGACGAAACGTTCCTAACGTGTTCAGGCTAAATAAACTGGTATGTCTGTATTCAGAAAATTCATATAACAAAAAATTATAAATGGTATTCGGTACGAAGCGGTATACCGCCCAGCACTACTGTTAATCTAAATCCTTTCCGGGCAGTTTTTCTATAACTTTGTTTACATTATTTCGTTCCAGGTCACTTTGGGCATGAACGCCGTCTGAAGCGAACATTGGCAGGACCCTTCCACCAGCCTGCATGTCCATGCCGCTGTAAAGGAGGACTTGCTCAATCGGTGTACAAGTTCAGCCCTTGCGTGTCTCTTCTCTTTTCACCATGGGGGGAGCTGTGAGTGCCGGGGAGGACAACGACGACCTCATCGATAACCTGAAGGAGGCTCAGTACATTCGCACGGAAAAGGTGGAGCAGGCGTTTCGGGCCATAGACCGCGGCGACTACTACCTGGATGGCTACCGGGACAGTGCCTACAAAGACTTGGCATGGAAGCACGGAAACATCCARCTGTCTGCTCCATGTATATACTCTGAGGTGATGGAGGCTCTTAAGCTGCAACCAGGACTTTCTTTCCTTAATCTGGGCAGCGGGACCGGCTACCTGAGCACAATGGTTGGCCTCATCATAGGTAATCTTGATGAAGTCTGATTTTACAGATTTTCTTTTTTACTGTTTAGGAAATGTATTTTTTTAGACAAACTGTCACACTAAGAGCATTAGTCTAGATGAAACCAGCATTTGGACGTTTAATGCCACGCCTGGTTTAAAACTAATTATTATGTTTTATTCTTTCTTTTCTTCAAAGGACCATTTGGTGTGAACCATGGAGTGGAGTTGCACAAGGATGTTGTGGAATATGCCCGACAGAAACTGGATGATTTCATAAAGAACAGTGACAGTTTTGATAAGTGAGTCCATGTCCTCAAAACAGACTTTACGTTTGGAAATACAGTTATTTTGTCAAACGCAATCTGTAAGAGAAACTGTTTTTCAGAAGGTTAAATGTGTCTCGCTCGAAACTCCCCAGAGTCTCAGGCTGTTGCCTAGCAAACAGTCCAGTCCAAGAACCTGCCCAGAACAAAACCACCCACGCATCTACTCTTAAAACAGATTGCCGTCAGTGTATACAAATTAAACAGAAATGAGTGATAATAATAAAAAAAAGGACTGCGGCTCAGGAGGTAGAGGTTTTCGTTTTGATCACATGTTGAATTATTGTTGGGTAAAAGACTGAATTACCATCTGGTTCTCTGTGTTCCTCCCATGTGAGGTAGTTTGAATAAAAGTGGAATGAAAGTAAATGTAGCTGGTAGAATTAATGTTTGATGGAATTGACTCTATTCAGACTGACATTAACCCGTTTGTTCGGTTGGGTTCAGTGCTGTTTGACAACATTTTAGACTGTTACACCACTCGAACAGAACAGTGAAGTATTTTATTCATGACAGTAGTTGCGCACCTTTATGTCCACTATGTTTAAAATTCTACACCAAGTTTGGTGGTTAAGTGTGGAAATCCACGCAACGAAAACAGCTCTATCCTCTTGTGTGTTTTCACACATTATTTTTGGTCTTTTCGTGGATAATTAGGTCACAAAGCGAGCATAATTTAGCTTCTGATAAACCAGGCAAATCACTAATATATACTGCTTTGCTTGTGATTTGTGGATTTTAATTGTGCTGCGGGAGTTGACAGTAAATAAAACCATGTCACTGCTCAACTTATGTGACTTGCTTAACGTAGCTAAAGGGATCTGGATTGTTTTGACGTGATATTTGACTGTCTTGGTTTGGGAGTTGCTTAAACAGGTTAGCTAAATAMCCGCTGGCTCAGAAAGTAAACACTATGGATATCCAAACATGTATTTTCAAGAATATCTAGTTCCTAATTTAGTCCTGAAAGAAAAGGGCTCTTATTTTTAAAAATTTTGGTGACATTTACATCCAAGCAACAAAAGTCAGGAGTTTTATAGTTGGACATTTCCTTTGACCTGTTAAATTTCACCTCTTCTTCCTCATTCCCATATCAGGTATTTCACGTTCGTGCCCATCACATGAAAGAAATGTCATCAACACTCAGACCTGCTGTGAATTCTCCAATTACCGACTCTATTTACAAACGGTCTCAGTCTCAATTTCCAAGAGCTTTGTCCATTACTATTCATGCAATTACAATCTCACTTTCAGCATCTTCAAGTAATGTTTTAAATGCTTTCAGGCTGTGGGGGATATGGAAAAATATCCATGTGGTTTTCCCTCACATTTGCAGCTTACCATTGTGATGATGAGACAGACGGAATGATAAACGTGTTTTCCACGCCACTTTTTAATATCTCGATTATTTTTCTTCCCCGCAGGTTTGAGTTCTGCGAACCTGTCTTCGTGGTGGGGAATTGCCTTGAAATCTCAACAGACAGTCACCAATACGATCGCATTTATTGCGGCGCCGGAGTGCAGAAAGACCATGAAAATTACATGAAAGTGCTGCTCAAAATTGGAGGCATACTGGTGATGCCTATAGAGGATCAGGTAAGTGCTGCGAGCMATCGGGCCGACACGGACCAGACGCCCTGATTGCTATTCAAAATTCAAAACATAGGAGGAAAACAAGGTGGAATAGCTTTGACCCAAAAGACTGGTTATGCAACCGCTCCCATGCATTATTGAGCCCCAACTGCCCCTGGATTTAAGCAGCTGTGTTCGAAGCACACACGGTGCTGCATAAATAATGTTTCATTTAAAATGCTGGATGTGTGCATGTGGACACACTGTGGGGCATGCGAGAGGGCTTCAGTGATGGTGTTGTGTGTTGGTGGTAAGAAGGGAAAGGATTGTGACAGATCCGTGGTCTCAAAGCTTTTGAACAATTTAAAGGAAGCTGAAGTAAAACTTGACTTTGATTACAGCAGATACCACGTTTCGTTCCGGCAATCACCAGGGGTGTACAAGATCCTTAAAGTAAATCAATCCTCATAATATTTTCAAAGAAGYCCCAAAGTATTACTAAGGATGAAAACAGCCTGCGCTGTTGTGAGCATTGATAAAATGATTAAATATAATTTTAAAGTACAGATCTTTGGAAGATCAAAAAGCTTGAAAGCACTACAACAGAAAGTTACACAGGCTGTGCCCATGGTAATGGGAATAATCTTCAAAAACGCATCCTTCTTTGTTGGGGGGCTTTCATCAGCACAGAGCCGACATTTTCATCTTCCCCATCTCCCTTCAGTGCTTTTAGAAATTACTCTCCAGAGTGGACAAAAAAAAAGGTGCAGAGAAAGGAGAGGGAGTAGAAAATCTTTGTAACAATGCTGATATACTGTCTGAGTCTTCAGAGACAGTTCGATTACTAGAGCCGAACATCTGTACGTCCCTCTTTTCATCTCTTCCGATGTCAGTATGAGGAATCACACTCATGGGTGCCATTATGGTCTGACATGGTGTCTCCCTCTATCAGCTGGTAAAAATGGACCTGTGTGCTGTWAGAGACATGTACTGGATATAACTGYGCCGAAGAAGGTCGAATCAMTCATRTGCAAATCATTCTACATTTTGGAGTCTTCAGGCGGGTTACTGATCTGTCTCTGTCTGTGTGCCTTTGAGTGAAACGACTCTATGAATGTGTGTGAATAAGAAAAGTGAGAGATCTATAGGTTTAATAGKTACACTTCGGTCTATAAAGGAAACACTTGTGTCATTATTCTGACTGTTGACTAAAGAGGTCTGTGTGGGTTGATGGTTTTCCAGGAACATTGTTGATTAATATACCGTATAATGGCCTGAGTTATCTCATCTGTTATGRATAACAGGCAGCGCTTCTCATTTTTCAAGCCAATACCAAATAGCATTTTAATGATGTTAGGTTGGATGGGTGAGATAATAATATACTAGAAATAATGTTTAGTAATCAAATCAATCAGTCGTTCTTGGCTAGGCTTTTTAAGGAAAATACAGTAAAACAACTCTGCACAAAATGTAACCTTGGAGAAAATAAACAAACTGTGTAAATCTGTTTGTTGACAACCAGGATGTCCAGCAGAGTTCTTGTTACCATCGTTTTACTAAATAAAAAAAAAATCTCCAGTTTGGTGTTCAACTTGACATTCAGGCTTTTAACACTGTCGGGCTTTGTTTTGTGGAAAGTAAACAAGTACTTCAAAATATCAAGAAATTTGAGTTCTGGTCTGATTTGAATGTTCGTAGTCCTTCTATCCTTCAAAGATCCCTGTTGAGATTAACAACCTTTAATTTATCACGATTTTCCCTTGTTAAAGACTAGCAGTGGGAGACATATTGAATGTTTAGCCACTCATGAGAGTGACTAAGCTGCAACACACACAACAATCACATCGACAAGCTCTGTTGAGGAACTATAGTGCAAAAAAGGTTTGGTTTGAAGTCAAGTTTGGATTTGGACACATTTTAGACCTTTGACATTCATAAAACAATACCTTTTTAAAAGGTGTGTGTGTGTGTGGGTGTGTGTGTGTGTGTGTGTGTGTGTGTGTGTGTGTGGGGGGGTATTCAAAGTTTTACTTTTTTGGGCTTTAAATAACCTATTCCTGTCAGAAATGGTAGGAAGTTCTACAAGAGACAGGGGAGATGGAGGTCAATCAAATTTATTTTTGATATATACAGCAGTTTCACAACAACTGAAGGTAACAGTTATCAGACTGTGGTGTATAACTAGAGTATGTGCCTGGAAAATACATAAATTCCACCTTTTAAAACACCAAAATAAATAAAATAGACCATTTAGTAGTTAAAAATAGTTACAAATGTGCATGTGCGCAGTGGGCTGAGTTCAAGTTTTTCAAGAAAATACTGAGGTTGCTATTTGTTTGCTTTAAACTGATTTATGTTAAACTTTCCTTTAGGACCATAGATGAGATTTTTCATGAATCTGCTTTTGGAGCTTGTTGAATTTACTACTTCACTATTCCAGTTGCATTTTCATAGCAATCTCAGAGTTTTCTTGGTTGACCTGAGACATGGAAGAGTCAGGCACCACTACAAAATGGTCTCATATTATGATCATCATGATGTTTTTGTATATAAAGTGTCAAAGTTGAATTAATATTTCAGATGATACTTTTGTCTGATAGAGCAAACATATGCAGGCATGGTTTACYTGCTGTATATGAAAGTACTGAAAGAACCTAGAGTTCAAACGTGTTCGTTTACCAACTATGTGCTTACCAATATGGAGAATGTGCAATTACGTGGAAAGAATTGTTAAAGAGTAACCACATAAAACCAAGGAGTGCTCCTGGCTGATCTTATTCGAGTGACGAAGAGATCAGGCCCAGCATACGGAAGTCCATCTAGTTTTATTCCAAGAGCTCCAGGGCCTGGCTCCGCCTTTGTAATTATGTCATCATTGAGGGAGGTCCCTATACTTCAGAGCCCGAACCCCCAGACAATAATAATCTGTACTACTGAATAAATAAAAGTTCAGTTATATGTTGGATTTGTTCCCAGGCATGTATCTATTATCAAGTTAATCAAAACAGTCACATTTAACAATCATTACAATTCTATCATAAAACTATACTATGTGTAGTGTAATTAAAATCAGTGTGTAACATAAAKCCCAATAATTTCTTCAGTACCAAAGAACTTATCTGTGGGTCTAGGAGTCTGTTGTGGTACTTGGCTCTAATGTTGTATTGTGATCGGTTTTAAATCTGTTTTTGCTTCTTTTGTCCTGTTTTTGCAGCTGACCCAGATAACCAGGACTGGTCAGAGCACGTGGGAGAGCAAAAACATCTTGGCGGTGTCCTTTGCCCCCTTGGTGCAGCAGAGCAGAGGAGACGGGGAGAAACCCGACACTGTCCATCTGCGTGAGTTGCACCGCCTCAACAAAAAAACAACATCTTTGTCATGTTGTGCTTAAGTCATCTTGAAGTATAAAACCGTCAGTACTACGTTTTTTAAGCCAGTGAAAATGATTTAAAAAGAAGTCCTTCAGGATGTTGGTCTTCTTGTTTTGTCTTGCTTGCAGGGCTTAGTTTTCTGTCACACATTCTCACTTGTGCTTGTTGGCCTAGTTGAGGTCAACGTAGCATTAGCGTGGATGATTTTTCTTCTTGTGGCGCGTCGCCCTGAAGGTCCGTGTCGTCCCTGTTTGTCCTCAGCCCCGGTGACCGTGCGCAGCCTCCAGGACCTGTCCCGCGTCTACATTCGCCGCACACTCAAGGGCCTGACGAGCCAGGACAGCCAGGGCAAGGGGACGGTGCAGAGGGRCCCCCAGAAGCGCAAGCGCAGGCGCTGCAGGCGGCGGCGCATCAGCACGTACGTTTTTGTCGGCAATCAGCTCATTCCGCAAATGGTGGAGAGCGAAGAGGAGGAGCACGCCGAGGAGGAGCACAAGGACGTGGAGGAAGAGGAGGAGGAAAGAGACATTGGCAACATCGAAATCATCAAGCAAGTGAACGTGTTGAGAGAACAAATACTGGCTCTACCGCTGCCTGAGCCGCTGAAAGCATATTTGCTGTATTACAGAGAGAAATGACTTCTTCACTCCYTGTCAGCCCTTAATGAGTGCGACGCCTGCTGAAATTCCTTTCTTCACCCGTTTTCAGTGCAAATGTAGCATTATCATTCAATCTTGATGGCAACACTGTATTTGGAAAGAGATAACATTGGATAATAATGGTATGATTGTAATAAATGTTAGTTTTTGTTGGCGTTTTATTTTAATTTTTTTCCTTTGATTTGTATAGAAAAAAACGTGAAAATCAAATGAACATAGGAAACGAAACCAGGAATCCAGTTTTATCCTGTCAGGGTTTTTTTTTTTTTTTCTGCAGACGTGCAGATGAACAAACTGTAAAAAGATCTTCTTACTGTATTTGTTAAAATATAATCAAGCTGAGAGAAAAATTGTAATGCGCTTTATTTTACAATTTTTTTAGAAGCTTTAACCTTCTTTCTGTCAGGATCCAGTGATTTAATTATCCTGAAAGCAGGAAACGAGGCCACATTCTCCCATTTTGAGCTTGAGAGTAAAGACGTTATTGCATAATCATAAACGGGGCACTTAATAACTCTCAATGTGTTTTATACCTTCCTGTAACAAGAGATCACTGGGGAAAAAAAGACCAGACTTATACATATATTTTCTACAGGGCACCTTTTAATGTGACGTTTTCTACAGCATGCTTGTTTTTGTTAGGTTTTGCTGCAAAAAGGAAAAAAAAAAGACAATTTGATGCAATGTAAGCCGTCTGCTCATAGTGTTTTCTTTTCTCATGGATGAATATAAATGTCAACATTAAGATAAAATGAATGAGAGACATTTAGGAATGGATGATGCCTTTTTTTAAAATAGAAAAGTGGTAAAAAGATGATTGTCAAGCCTGAGTTTGTGTATGAATATTATGGTGCTGACATTGGTTTACATCTGACTAGTTGCTTGAGCGGATGCACAGAAACAAAGGATTTAAAGTGAGTTAGATGAACTTGAGTAAAACTGAGTTATGTGTAGTACTGCAGTTTTTTTTTTTTGTTTTAAATCAAAAATAATGCAAAAATCTGAGTTGTTAAAGATTTTGATGCCTTATTTTATCCTGGACTATAGTCGGGTCCAACAAAGCACCTTAATCTGCAGGTTCTCAAGTGAAATTGGCAGCAAAAAGTACCACGGTTGGCTCGTTTTATGGACTGAACTCATTGCGATGTAAATTCAGTTTCACTACATTGRGCTCGCAGTACTTCCCTAATGCTGATGGCTTTTAAGTGCCAACCCATCATCTTAGGATATCTGTGAGCTTTTGGACATTAAGTCATCCAAACAAAGGTAGTTTTTTCTTTTTTTATTTAAATATCTATATATGTATAAACATTCCAAAGTTAAAAAAAAAAACAGTTGAGGTTTAGAGGTTTTCTTCACACTTCACTGTCACATTCAGAAAGTTTTCTCTTACTTTGAATGCAGAGTTTAGTATTTAAAAAGCTGAGTTGAATGTTATTAATTCTCTTGAATATAAACGTGGTTTTCTTTATAAGGTGATTATTTTTACAGTTTCATTTGCTTTGTTGTAGCCACCTTTAGCTGTATTTTACCTTCACACTGGGAACTCTGTTGATCTGAACTTGACTGCTGTCTGTTACGAATAGATAGGAAACGTTAGCATTAGCTCTCATTTAGTTTCGATGTAATGAAACATATTTTTGGTTAAATACGGGGTTAATTATTCTATTTGTAGTGTATGTGTGTTCAAAGGTAATCCTTTTTTTATTTCTTTTTTTAATGTTCTTTGTGGAGTTTTTTTAAGATAATGAAACAATTTCTCAATTAGACTAGAACTCATTTGATTTGGATAGAATCCATTCAGTTTCACATGTGCAATTTCAGCCTTGGAACAATTTATATACCATAACCTAAACTGTAATTGGTTATTAGCCTGGTAGATTAGGAAGAGGCGGACCTACAGCCTGGACTCTCAGGTCGAAAGTTAATGGGACTGGTCTGATTAATTTAATATGGACGAGATTGGACTATTAAAACAGCATAGGGTGAAAATCAACTTGCACTCCGTGTTCTTATTTTGGTTCAGTTGCTTTATTTTTCTGAAAATTTTTCATAGTGTTTGCAGTTTATTATTTTGAAAATGTGTTTTGTTGTAAACGTGTGGCACAAAAATAAAGGTCACAATTACGATGCGTGTCTTCCATTCATTTTTTTAGTTGACTGGGTAAAACTATCAAGTGGAGTTTCATCCGAGCTGGTAGACAACTGCTAAAAGGAACAAACCACAACTCTCCTAACGTAAAAATACAGATTTTCTTTTCCTTTTATAAGCCTCTGCCTGCTGAGGACTGAAGGATTTTTGTGAGAACCCTCCAACTCAACACTGGAGCCTTTAAAGTGTTGGGCAATACACCTACAGAGGGTGAAGCAGATCAGACAAACAGTTGTCGAGATTGTTTTTTGCTCAAACGTGGAAAAAGCTGCTGTCTCAGGCCTGGGATTTTGTCTGAATATAAAGTGTATTAGCTGTTGCACTCTGGAGACTGACGAAAGGCAGATAAAGGAAGAGGAAACAGATGCAGAGATATCCTTGCTGTCAGCCGTAAAAAGCATCTTTCATTAGGCGCCGTTAAAAGTTGAATGTGTCGTACAGAGATATAGAAGACCCTGATGACATCTCCAGGAATGTTTTTCAGATAAGAACGCTCCACCAGTAAACTCTTGTTCATAAAAACAGAGGCGTGACTGCAGTTTTTAAATTAAAGGTCTAGCATTCCTTGAAGGAACACATCACTTACCACTTTCCATCTCAGTGTGTAAAACCAACGTGGAAAAGGGGCTGAGATGTGTCCATTTTTATCAAATTTTTAAAAATGTTTTGTGTGATGTCATGCAATAGTGTAGGATGTCACAGAGTATGTGTTGCAGATAAACGATGATGATGAAAGTCAAAACCATAAGATTGCATGAGACGATATGGTAAATGGACTGTAKTTATWTAGCACCTTTCTATCCATCCAGGACACTCAAAGCGTTTCACACTACAGACATTCACCCATGCACACACACATTCACACACTGATGATGGCAAACTACAATTGTAGCCACAGCTGCCCTGGGGCACACTGACAGAGGCAAGGCTGCCATACACAGGCGCCACCGGACCCTCTGACCACCATCAGTAGGCAAGGCAGGTAGGTGTCTTGCCCAAGGACACAACAACTGAGTCGACTGGACGGGGATTGAACCGGCGACCTTCCAGTTCCAGGACAACTCCCCTAACCACTCTACCACAGCCGACCCTATACGAAGATCTGAGGGCAGAGCTGCTATTTTATAATCCTGAGGCTGCAGGTTTGAATCCAGGTTGCGTCAGGCTTAAAGCAATTGCCCAGATTTTTGTGTGAATTTGCTTGTTGTGGAGACTTCTCAAGGGAGCAGCCCAAAAACAAACAAAAAAAAAAAAAACAATAACGTTATGTTTTTGTCTTGGATAACATTGACTATCTGTGGTGGCCATCTTGAATTAGACATACTCTAAATATTAGTTGCAGATGTCGGGGAGACCGGGGACAGTTACAGCATTGCATTTGACTCTGTTACTCAGAGATGGTTTGAATTAGACAAACCAAATTTTAATACAATAAACTCACATCTGTCTGTTAATAGTSAAAACCATTTATGGATGATTAAAGCATGTACATTCTTCACAATTTGCATTTGAAAACAAAAAGTTACATTTTGCAATTGACCTCGGGGCCGGGGACAGTTGCAACATTGTTAAGGGGTGGTTGCAACATATTATTAATACAAATATTTCACTGTAAAGAAAAGTTTTATTTTTTTTATATTTATATTATTGCTAAATGAATAAAAACTGTAAGTCATAATATTACAGTGTTATTTATTTATTCTTTTTGATCAAATGGCGAATATAGATTTGCCTTGATGAGTAGACCTTATATACAGATGTCAGACTTTAATTGATATAAAATACAGTTGAATTTTTGAGACAAGGATAATAGAAGAATTCGTGAGGCAATTAACTTTTGTTTTGCCTGTTGTCACTGTACGCCTACATTATGCTAAATTTACATTGAAAGAAGCTGGGATTTTAAAACCATTGAAAACAACAACTGCAGAAAATACATCTTAAACACTTTTATGTTTTAAACTATAAAATTGTCATGAATACCCAATACCCTTTTAAGTGTAAACTTAATTTCAACATCTTAATATTATCTGTATGTGCTCTGTTTTTATATGGATTTATCGTATGGGGACAGTTGCAACAATTGTTGCGACTGTCCCCCTTCCTGTGAGCCACGATAAAACCTCATGTGTTAGCTAAATAAGCTGAGCTTGATACATGTATATTAGTTAAAAGTCAACATATCACTTGTTTAAACCATATAAGTTTGAGCTGGAGCACAAAAACAGTGACAGCAGTTTAACAAAAATAAAGATGGGCAAAAAAAATTACTTTGGTACCTCAAAAACAGTTTTTTTTAATAAATCCTGGAGCAGTTTTTGAATCTGTTTACTTTTTCTCTGCAAGGTGGAGCATCTAACTGAGCATGTACAGTGTGACTGTCATCACTCTAGCTTGTTTCTGTTTAGAGAAAAATGACGTGTTGCAATCGTCCCTTGTTGCTACTGTCCCTGGTCTCCCCTACTTCCAATGAATATTTAAAGATTTCATTAAAACCCTGATATTTTGTCAATAAAAGCAGCATTGATTCCAAATAGTTGTTAGAAAGAAAAAAAAAAGCAAATATCTCACTTAATTAAATAGTGTTGAGATTATGTGTTGTGTATCAGTCTCAGCCACTATACCAAATTTTAGGTCAGTTTGTGGCAACCATCTTGAATTATGTTGTCTCCATAACCAGTGATAGCTGTTCATCCAGTGATTGATATTTAAACATTTAGTTAAAATTTGTTGAGAGGTTCATGAGATATTTTGGTAATAGACACAGGGCTACAGTAGCACTTTGGTCAGTCTTGTAATCCTGAAGCTGCAGGTTTGAGCTCAGGTCATCAAATTGGAGTTTATTTGCTGTGARGACCACTGCAGAAGTGTGCAGCTGAAAGAACAGCAACACACAAGTGAGGGCAAACACCATTATCTGCCTTGTCTGCATGTCAGTAGGGGGTATTAAACATACTGTAAGAAGCAAAGCCACCCAGGAGCAAGCCATAATACAAAAAAATCTCATTTATTGATTAATTACACTGCATATTTGTTAATAAAARATCTGTGAAAAATCAAATACACCTCATCCTCTACATCCTGTGTTATATACGGTTATTTGATCAGGTTTAAAGCACAAACAGCATCACACAGATTTTCCTTGCATATACAGCACCTCCATCCATTTCCATCGGCTTAACGACGCCGCACAGTGTGAAAAACATTCTGCCAACCCCCGTTTAATTCGCTAGCCTCTGGAGTTTACTTACCCAGGGGCCTCTTCTGTTGGTTAATGGGAGGTAAGAGCATGACTAATTACACTAATTGACCTGAACTCTTTGTAAATATGATATTTTAGCTGCCTCTGCAGCACGTATAAAGCAGAGAGAAGTTTAAAGGGGTATCGCTCAGACCTCTGAAGGCCAGGCTGCACGATATTTTGGTTTTCTTCCTTAGAATTTCTCGCTCTTATCATATTTACAAGGTGGAGTCAAGCAAAGGTTAAATTACTCAACAAAACACAACATGGCTGGTTTTATTCTTCTAAACTGCTTCACAGAGCAAATGATGACAAACGTTATGAGCTTTCTAATGTTTCAATCCCAAAAAGTAATAGTCATTTTTTTGTTCATTTGACTCTGTTTATTTACATCATGGAGTGTGTTTCTAATTATGTGATTAGCTTGTGTTCATTGTAAACTTGATTTTCTTTTATCCAGCAAAAAATAAAATGAAGGGCACATGTTCATACAATCTGCCAATCCTGGTTGTATTTGTACACTCACCGGCCACTTTATTAGGTACACCACGCTAGTAACGGGTTGGACCCCCTTTTGCCTTCAGAACTGCCT